ACTCGTCGTCCCATCCGGGCTCGATCGTTCCCGCGCAGACGCACCAAAGCACCGCTCGAACGGGAAGCCGCAGATCCCCTAGGGCTCCTGGCCCACCTCCTGAGGTTTGGTGGTTGGGGTGGGTGCCAGGGGGGGTCTAACCACCGAACCTGAGGATATGGGCCAGGAGCCTTAGGGATCTCTTTTTTTCAAAAGCCCCGTCGCCCCCCCAGTCGGGTCACCGCACCACTCGAAGCTGTCTTTGGCCCGTGTTTCTTCGGGCACCCCGAGGTTTTCATCGAGTCCGGCAGGCAGGTGAGCAGGCGACTGCCAACAAGGAACGGCTTCCCAGTGGAAACTGCGAGCAAAATGAGAAGAACCGATACAATTAAAGAAGTGTTTGTTTTCGTGTTTTTTCCTGAGCCAAATCAAGGTTGAAAAAAACACATGGCATTCGACACCTTTGCAGGGGTCGCGCCCCAAATGCTGCGGGAAGGGGGGTGCAAACTCAGGCTGGGGTGCCAATCATCAAACTGGGTTCCTCTTTCAGGGGCTTGAAGCTGTTGGAAGGTCCAGACACACCTTAAGACTACCCCAAACATCAAACAATCGCTTCACAAACGAACCTGTTCAAACATCTCAAACGGCTGACCGCCTCCCAACGGATCTTCAGCGTGCGAGATCGGATGCCAAAAGAAGAAACACAGGGCTGCGGTACCAGGCCCTGCGACCTCTACCAACCCATGTGACACAACCGGAGTAGGCATGTTGGTCTAAGATGATTGCTGAAAAAAATACATATTCCGCAATTCCGCAATCGAAGTTTACGTTTCTTGCCCCCTGAGAAGACGATCCTTCCGCATACCAAACAGGGGGTAGAGGAGTGGACAGCAGGGAGAGTAGCCAGTGTGTGTTTAGGAGTTCATCTTTCGAGCCCACAGAAACTCTTTGGATCTCTTGGGAAGTTCCCCAACTTGACCACCCGAGCGCACGGCCGCCTTGGCCGCGCCAACCTGAGGGCGTCAGCGGTCGTGCCAACATGCACCTCTTTTAAGGGTCCAAAGTCGGATGGTTGTTGATCTATGTCGATCTATTGGCTGCAATCCCCTCCGCACCTCATGCCCACCGGTCCCCAAAAGTCAAAATATGACACGTCCTGCGCGCGAAGTCTGTCTCGGCGCGAAGGATGGAAGTCTTTCTGCCAGGTCTTTGGGAGCTCTGCATGGAGTTTGTGGATCCCAATCAGTTCTTCCAATCTCGCAGAAGTGCTTGAAGTGCTTCGAAACTTCACTGATGTTCACTTTCCACTTTTCGGCCGCAGTAGGATTGGCACACCTCCGCGATGGAATTGGGCGGTCCAAACATCGTCTTGTGCTTTGGCTGTCGAATGCCTTTTTAAACAATATAGTCATAGTGAACTTGATATAACAATTATCTCAATAGCCATGCAATAATGATCACTTGTCAAGTAGATTATGTCCGTTCGTTTGCTTTGTGGCCAAATTAAGGGGGCTATCTCCTCCTTTGACGGTGCTGGGCTAGGGCTTTTCCACAAAGACCAGGCATCCGATCACAGAAGTTCTGGCACGTTCTCCCTAACTCTCGTCGTGGCCTTTTGTAGGCCGGTCCATGCATCGTGTGCGGGCGAACGAATGTGCAGGGTCTTGACCAGATCAGCTCAAATGAAACACTCCTTTGGCCGGAAATCTCTGGAAAATATAGATGCAATGAGCTCTGGGTCATGGTAGGAGAGAAGAAACGGGTTGACGACCTGGAAGGTCTGGAACCAGGGCTACAGGTTTTGTGATCACCTATCAAAGCATGTGCTCACCCATCTTCATAGAAGTGCCTACTCAGCAGAAGTTGCCCAACTCATCTACCTGACCCTCAAAGAGGATGGGTTTGTCATTGCTTGTCTATCATATGCTGCGCGACAACCCACTCACCATGGCCTGCTGTCCCGCAATCTAAGTTGCACCCGACAGTGGTGTGTGTGTGTGTGTTCTGTCCCCGCATCCTGGCATCCCCCAAAAGTACAGTCTATCACTCATCAGTCCCACTTCAGTCAGAAGGTTCTGCAGCCCACCCAATAAGTTGTATCCTGGTCAAACGGCCAGTTCTGATTAAAGAGTCTGCACCTTTTTGTGGTCCCAAAGCAGTTTGGAGGACCTACTTAGGATTGGGGTTCAGGTCTTCAGCCGAAAGATGGGTATGTCACTATGTCTCCTTTTGCCTGGGCACCCCAATCAGTGGAGTCTAGTCCGGTCGCTGAACTGCCACGTCCAGGTGATGTTCTACCTAAATGGCGGTCCGAAACTTTCTCGGTCTGGTTGTGTCCACGATCTCGTTGTACACCTTGAAATCCGCGTCATTCAGATACTTCTGAATTTCCAGAGTCCGAAAAAACAGAAATGGTTGTCAAGGAACCATCAGGCAAGTCGGCTTGGAGTTGTACGCGCCAAATCAAATTCAAATTCTATTCGTTGTGCTCCGTTGCCTTAAATGATGAAATATGGATGAAATCGCAAAACAATTCTGGAAACACTGCGACCATGCCGTTGAAAGAACAGATTCTTGATCTCATGACAGCTGTCATGTTCTTCCTGTCAGTGTGTACAACAACGTAGATCTTCAAATAATTTCCGCGGTCGGGTGCCGAATTTGGAATCGTCCCCGGAGATTGCGTACTTCGTTCTTCTCGACATGGATGTGACGAGCTGTCGGTGACGCAGAGCTGCTTTTTGATGTCCGATGGTTTTCCGGGCTGTTCCTGCCAGAAGGGGACTCGCCCAGTTCTCCCAACATCGCCCCCAAAAGACACCCTTCTGTGCGTAAGTGATTTCTTCGGACGTCGGTTTCCAAGATGTTCCAGCCTTGATTTAGTGAGGTCTGAGGTCGGGTGAGTCTTTTGTTGGTTGGCCGCACGGCAGGACGACCTTGGTACCGCCCGAAGAGAAACCATCCCAACAGCAGAACATTTAAAGACCACTGGCCCCAAAGTCTCCCCAAAGCCCACTGCAGGAGCACTCTTGGGAATCACTGGCCCGATTCAAACGGGTACCAAACGGGTTGGTGCAGTTTGAGCCGACGCTGATCCAGCGAACGGTCCCTTCTTCTTTTGAACATCCTCCGGATTTGACGCAAGGTCCGGATTTGGGCCATGGCCGACATGTGTGGTAGCTTCTAACATGCAGGGTGTTTTCAGGTCGTGGCTTTTCGTTGCCATTCGCTGAGGTGTTCGGGGTTGAACATGTGCAGCCCATCATATGGAAGCAAAAAACAGAGCCGTACCAGTCTTTTCTGGCTGAGAAAGTGGTGAAATAGGGGCCATATTAAGTCAGTCACCAGGCTCAGGTGGTCTCCTGAACTGGTGTCAACTTGGGGTGGGAGAACCGAGCGTGAGGAGTGGGTGGGTTCGGCTTCTTACGTAAGGTCATTTAGCCATGTTTAGCCTACCAGCCTATCACTTGTGACTCCAATCTGTAGTCCTCAAACCTTGAAAACGCTCCCAAAAGTGGACTGCTGCAAGATCCAACGGGCTGGGACCTCCTACTAAGTACTAATTAAGCAGGATCGCTCTTCTATCTCACTGTAATTGACAAACCAAAGGGGGAACATGCCCAGAATACTGGCTACAATATCATGTTGTTCTGCCTTGTTCATGCTGAAACCCATACCCACTCTCTGCTCGACTCGGATGAGCAAACCGTCTGAGCTTTTCTCCGTGAATCTCTGGAAATCTCCGTGGTACCTATGTCTTTTTCGAGGAGTTCGTCGTTGTCCTGCGAAGGCACGGTCTGTCGCTTCTCGCTGCGCACGTGAAGAGCAGCAGCGTCGCTTTGATGTACACATCTACCACCATGAACAAAAATGAAGAACATCCACTGTTCCTTTTCACCAGCCTCATAGAGACATCTGCAGAAACCATCACCAGTCCCTTCTGCCATCCGACGGCCTCCATGGCTGTACAAAGGTCTATGTGGCCGAAAAGCAAACACCCAATACCCCTCGGCACGTGTGGAGGGTGGTGCGTTGAAATTTCTCGGCACGTCGGGCGTCACGAATTCGGGCAAGCTGGGCCGTGTCCTAAAGTTCCACCGGGCCGGGGCAAACAACGCAAGGAGCGCAGCCGCGACCTTCTTTCGGTCGCGCCGGGTTCGGAAGGCGACAGTGGGTTGGACATCCGATCTTCTGAAGAAGGGTCTTAACTTGATAGGGGTTTAGCGTGGTTTAGTAGTCAAATTCCTTGTAAACCAAAGGGGCGGGCGACTTGACCAAGCACTGACCTGACTTTCAGGCCATTCTCCAGGAGTTTCTTCGAGTCTCACGTCAGAATCCCTCATGTTCGCTGCCCACTCTGGGAATTAAAGGTCGACTGGTTAACTGGAACACACAAAGTTGGGCACCAGATGTGCTATGGAAAATAACACATCTCAATTAACTATAGTGTATATAGTATGCCATTTAGTATGCCCTTATAACTTGTTAACATATTGATATTTGCCTTGAGATGCCCTCCAAATATACTATAGTAACTTTGTTACTCTCAAGACTTGTCTGCATTCTGTCTGCCCACCCGCACCTTCGAAATCACAGTGATGCGCATCTCGAAGGATCGAAGACAGCCGCGTGACGGCGCGAACGCGAGTGCGCGGCTGGCCGCTGCCTCTAACGTGTGGAGTTGTCGGTTGCGTCACCTGGGTCACCACCTGCCTGAGTCACCTTCACAAGGCACACACCGAAAAAGTAATGTGAGTGAGAGGCCAAAAGAAGATGTTCATCTTCGAAAGCCAAACTGATGGGGCGGCTGCGGCACAGGGTTTAGGGTGTCATCTACCTTCACCAAAGAATCCCCCAAGGAAATAGGAACAATTCCCCCGATCGATTCGGTGTTGTTCCTGTTTCATCACTGGTTCCTTTGCTACACGAAGTTCGGACGGGCTCTGACTTTCGGAGCACTTTTTCACTTCATGGCTCCGTAAGAAAAGCGCCGCAAGTTCACGGTATTAAGTTTCATCATGGGCCTTTTCAGTACCTTGCTCTTTCTTCGCCTCACTCGCGTGTCCATGCACGATCCTCCATCCATCCGTCAGACACATCACCGTCCCGCGTGTCCGGCGTAGAATCGTCGCAGGACTTCGATGTCTTCGGGTCGCGGGCGCCGGTGGCGTCGCTCCCACTCGACGCGGGTGAGGTGGCTCCCGCCGCGGGTGTCGCTCCCTCCGCAGCAGTTGCGCCGGCCTGGGACAACTGGAGCCAGCTCCAGAGCAACGACCGAGCTACCAAGGAAAGTCCCAGGAGCAATGGTGGATTTGGAGAATCCCAAATTGGGGAGACCCCGCAATTTCTTCAATGGGTGGACTACTCGTAGACCGAGCCTCGTTCACGTGTCGGCAAATGCCTCTCAAAAATCAACACCAAATTCCCACTGGTTTGAGAGCGGAAGGTTTGGGCAGCTACAATTGGCCCCCTGCAGCGAAGGCCGGGTTCAACTGGACCCCAAGTCAAGGCCCTGTCGCTCCTCATCCATCCCTGTCGCTCCTGATGCACTTCCGTTGCTTCCGTTGCTGGCCTAGTAGGTCAGGTCAGGACCTCTTCGCCGCTGTCTGTCTTGGAGTCTTGCCACATCCGCATTTCACCGAAGTGAAGGGAAAAACGGAACCTAATTAGATCATAATGGATTAATGGATAGCTCAACACGAAGGCCTTCACTCTCCCAAACATCAAGCAGGCCAGCACACCCAAACCGCGCATCCTTTCGCATGTGTACACGTCGCGTGTGGTCGCGTCGTGTCGAACGGATCGGATTGGACCGGTCATCGGACGAGGCACGGAGGTCTGAAGATCCAGGACTGCTTGGGCACAGCGGAGTAGTAAAGAACTGCAGCTGTTCCAATCTTCTGGCCTGGAGTCGTGGCTGATGCGCTTTTGAGCCCTATGTGATTGTTTTGAAGCAGCCTGACTATCCTGGAGCGAATAGAAGTAATATATAAGTGAAAAAAATTCTTGTGAGTCAACACAATAACCAAAGAAAACCGTCTTGAGCATCATTGTCCTAATTTTCAGTATCGTCCCTTGCTGGAACTTGTGGATAGATGTTCTGATGTTTGTCGCATTCCAGGCTGACTGATGACCCTCAACTTATTGCTTGCCACAAGAACTGCCGACTGGATGGTGTTCAGGAATGAACAAGCTGGTTAGTGTTGCGTCCATTCATTCGCTCTTAAAGAGGGTGTCCCTGGAACAAAACTGCCGAGTCAATTTGTACTCTTTCCAGGTTACTGTCATTCCTTCAGTTTCCGAATTCGTTGTCTTGCAAATGCTTGTCATTGGGAAAGCCCATATATCATATATGCATGACCCCACTCTGAGAATAAATGAACACTTCAAAACAAACCCAGCCCTTGCTACAGTTTAGTGATGAAAGCACATGAGGCATCGCTGCAGGACTCCACTTTCGACCATCCCCGGCGAGATCCGAAACAGCATGTGTTTGAATGGGTTAAACTCCCCAAGCATGCTTAACCTTGCTCCTGGACCACTGGCTAGACTCAAAGACACAGGATGAAGCTTTGTTCATGCTGTTGTCTGGGGTGTTAACTTCCAGGGCAACCAGCACTGAGTTCTCCCTCGTGTGTCTTGCGGTTGTCCAGCCGTTTCAGCGACATCATCCAATCTGTATTGAGCTCAGCAAAACGCAAGGGAACATCAGAGTAGAGACAACGTCCTTTTTGAGACCAAAGCATCTCCAGCACATCATCGAAATTAAGCTCAAATTCGCCATCCCATCTGCCAAACTTGTGTCTGCCGCGAGCACTTGCAAGTAGACTCATTATGTGTCCGCGCAATCTCATTCTTCGTGCCAATTCGTAGGCGCTCGTACAAGACTTGCAATGTGGCTGGAATCCACGTGTCGTTGCTGTGTGCAATGAATAATTCCAGGTAGGTTGCCAAAGCCCACAACATGAACATTTAAGGTGTCCATGGCCCTTCTCCCATCCACAAGAAGGTTCTGAAATCATTCCTTTAAATGCAAGATGTTGTTTGCGCAAACGTGCCCCCTGAATGGCTTCATCCAACTTCTTCAAGTCCACGTTCAAAGATCGCTCCATTGGTAGGCCCTGCACTTTCACCATTGACCACTTGGAAGATCCAGATGTCTTTTCTAAGGCCACTTTCTGGCTCATCTTTTCAGAAGTATTGAACTCTGCCGCAATCAAAGCACAGTTGTGTCGTTCATACCCAACATCGTTGTCCAGCCTTTCCAGTGACATCCGCCAGTCTCTCTCGGTGAATGATGAGGTCTCCACCTCCAGGAGCACCTGTACCTGCCTTTGCCTCAAGGATGTCATCGCCTGGCACACAAATGGCCGGCTCGGGTAGGAAGGCCAATCCTGCACGCAATGGATGCAGGACTCCCAATTCACCCCTTTAGCCCTCGCCTCCGCTCCCTCCAAAATGCAGACTGATGCCTTTGGCTCTAGCACCGTTGCATTCACGCATGCCGCCACGACAGCCGACATCACCGCCTCCTCGGCCTCCGAAGATTCCCTTAGGGCTCACTCACATCTGTCACGTTTTGCACACGACTTGAGCCCCAAGCTTGGAGCTTGCAGCTTGAAGCTTGGCACCTTCACACCCTCCAGCTTCATGACCACGCACTTGTGGATTTGGAAAATCCCACGGTGATGAGGCCATTTAGGACAAACACCAGCCAGTAGGTCTTGGCCGAAGCTCCTGCCCTCATAGCCTGTAGCTTCGATAGCTTCAGGAGATGCTTCACACCCGCCAACGGGATGAGAGGTATCAAAGCTTTCTTCCCGGGCACATCTGCCTTTTTGCTGAAGGATGAGGTCAAGAACGAAGTCAACGTCCAAATTATAAGCTCGACTCTTGAGATTGGCTCGTTGCCTTGCGCTACCCACAAGAACACTAGCATTCCCACGAAGAGTTCTTTTGTAAGCTGCTCTCCGCTTTCTGGAGCAACCGTTGCAATAGGAGCGCACACGGCCACCATTCTTGACATAGAAGTCCGCCACCGTTTTCTCAAGCCTACAATCACAACACCTCTAGCTGCCCGTGCCATCGCCCAACAGCCTGGAAGTTGGTAGATGTCTTTGCACATGCTGGGCTTTCCTTGGCACTCTCGCCTCTTCCACCATCCTCCGTAGCTCAGGGTCTACCGGCCACGAAGAACGCACGGCAGCCACTGCTGTGAGGCCGAAGCCAGCAGCGTGGTGACTGGAAGGTACAGCACACGGGGATCCGATAGGCCATGGTTGGGCGCACAGCTTTGCTGTTGGTCCTCGGACCCCGATTTCGACAGGCCAAACGGCGAATGGTAAAGGAATCAGTCCCGGGACCCGGGAAGTGTCTGGAAGAAATCCTTGAAGTCAATGGAAGTCACATATCAGGCCAATGGAATATAATAAATGAATATAACATAAGTGTATACATAGAACAAATGTGGACTATGTTATTATATGCTTGTTGATCTCACCACCCTAGCTGCTTGGGTGGCACAAACCAAAAAGAAACAACCCATTGTTCAACGGACAGATCACGTCACACCCGGAGCAACTGAACCCTGAAAAGCCACCGAGGACACCCCAGACAGTTGTTTTCGAATGTGTTCTCACATAAAACACAAGAAACAATACACATGTTTTGCAATGGAAAACTAAAGGTTCATGTTCAGAACCATGATTTACCCATAAAAACAACAAAGTATATTGCGGATGTGTATTAATTGAGAAATCCGATTTTTGTTGCAAAAAACAGTCTCTTTCAAAACCCTACTACTCTAATTACTGTTCTAAGTTTTGGATGGTTTTATATGGTTTCATGATGTTTTATGGTTTTGGATGGTGCTTGTATATTCCTCAATCGCTGAATTCAGTATTGAAGGATTTTCAGACATATCTAAGAGTATAGCACCAAGGCTGACTGGGGATTGACCCCTGTCATACCTGCGAATCTACCTTTGCCTACCCGACCACCCTGCCCGCCATGAAACGTTTGGTGTTTCATGGCGTGTTTCATGGCGTTGCCACTTGTTTCCAAAATGTCCGGTCCGGTTCTTCAAGACAGAAACAGAAACCAATGGCTCCTGGCACTGGTGTCATTTGGTGTTTGGTGTCCGGCACTGGGTCACCCACCGAAAGAAACTTCCTTCAAGACTCGTTTCCAGTCTCTTGAGACCCCCTTCGTGTTCCTCCGTCTGAGGCCGACCCTCTGATCCCTGCCACCTTGGTACCGTCCACCCCACCGTTCGGACCGGAGGGGAAAAAGAGAAACCAAAACTGAAGGCACAGCGGCACACCCTCTCTGATACCCTTTGTACCCCAAACAAAGCTACACGGACCCGGTCCACCCCACCGTTGGGCGCCTTCGGCGTGTGAGGTCGAACGTCAAGGCCTCCAGCTCCGTCAAGAAGACCTCGCAGTGCACGGCGGTTCCGGACGGGTCGCCCGACTCGGCCGGAAGTTGAAGCCATGAGCGATCTGCTTTGGAACGGGGATTTCTTGGTTGGAAGTGGAAGTGATGCTGCTGTAGTGGGTGTAGAGAGGAAACGGTTCAAAGCTGGTCAGTTATTGGCCCACTGTTTAGATCTGGTCAGTTATTGACTTGTTCACTTTCGATCCAAAAGAAACACCCGCTGTCACCGCCGGTAGATGCACAAACTGGGTGGCTCATCTGACTGCTACATGCGTTTGTCCACTGATGTTCTTGCACCTTGATTTGGGCCCGTTGAAGAACATGTGCAAATGATTTTCAACATGTGGGACATTCTGGGACGATAATGCAGCAAACAGTCATCAACCCATAGCATAGTAGGCAATACTCCTCCTCAAGGGTTGAATTCTTTAAGACAGTTCAAAAACGACAAGTCCCGGCTACCGGCCTGGAAATATAGTCCATATTATTCTACCTGTACTTGAGGACTTACATATCTCACAGCTTTCACTACGCCATTTTTTTCTGCAGGGGCCCAGAAAAACAGCCGGGCCTAGCCTTCAAGGTCTCATCTTCCGCACTGGAAGGGCCCTTCAAAGCATAGCGCCTCGCGCAAGGGACTAGTGCTAGACTTTGACTGCCAAATAGACATATGCTTCCCCTAGCAAGCGGAATATGGCACGATATTTTTTCAACGATGAGTCTACCCGGCAGTTGCTTAGATCGAGAAGGACAAAAAATGTGACAAAATACATCTTCCAACGTGGAATAGCTGTTTTTTGGAGGCAGCAGAACAGCCTCCGAACATGTCCTTAGCTGGGTCATTCATGTCATTCTTTATGGCAGTCTGAGATCCACACTGTAGGGGGATTTTGTTTATTCACGGTCTACCTTCCTTTCTTCATGTCTGCTTCAGCCCTTGCCACCCTCGACACATCTAGGCTCAAAAAGCACGGACGGTCAATGCTCACACCACTGGGCTCCAGACACAAGTTGCTTCCAGGAGCAGTCTTTCCTTGGAGGTCCCAACGGCAGAAACACAGGAGAACAGGCACCTGCTCGGAGAACAGGCATGTTGCCACGATGGACGGGGCTCTTGCGAGGTCTCAATTCATCAATGTATGCCCTGGGAGTCAAAGACTATAAAGAGAAAGGTCTTTGGGGGGAGCTGAGTTCGGGAACTTCCTTTACTTCAGCCGGTCAAAATATCGTCCAACCGGACTTCAATGGGTATGAATCAACCCGTTCGTTGACAAAAGAAGGACTTTAACCATGCGTCCAACGCAAGTCGTCACCCGACGCTCGTCACCTCACGAAATCGCCCAAAGGGTCGGCTCGGGGGTTCGTGGCGAGCCGGACCGGAACCTGCATGTAAAGTTGAAGATCTTTCCACCAGGACTACAGGGGGAATTCACCCCACAAAGTGATAGACATCAATAGACATCACCACCAGGTTCTGGAGCCGTTCGTGACCTCGAACTGGAGTCTTTAGTTTGTGACCTTTTACAGGCCTTTTTGTGACCTCATCCTGAGATATTTTAAAAACAGTTAGAGTTACAGTTCACTTCAGTTCATGGATGAAAAACTGAACATGTTTGGGGACTTGGACTTGCCTGGATCCTTGTTGTCGTTCCACGAAAAACGAAGTAGCACGCAAGTCGTCCGGGGGGGGTTCACCCTGCGGCTCAAAACGTTGACCCTCAGAGCCTCACACATCACATGGTTACGTGGATGGCATGGTCACTTGGAAGACTACACAGGGGGTGCCATCCAACAGGGGGTGCCATCCACGTAACCATGTGATGTCGTTCGTTGTCCGTCTGAGCGAACCGTTGTTTTATCGGTTTCTTTCGGTGGTTCGGCACTCGGCAGAGTGCCGCCATCGGCGCCGTCTCTCCCCGTCTTCTTTCGGTGTCAACGAGGGTCTCAATCTCTTGGAACTTGGACAGGAGCTCATCCCTCAGTGACGGACAGCTGCTCCCGGGCGGGAAAAACAAAAAGAACCATAACCTAACCCAGGCACGCACTCCATGGGACTGCCATTTATGCCTACAACTCCCAAAACCACCCCAATGCCCCAATGTAGGCATATATGCATACATGGAGTGTCTGGGTAACGTATTTCCCAGATTCACCCAGAAAACCGGGAAAACAGACAGCAGTCCTCGCCTGATTCGCAGAGAATTCTGGCGCTGTGCAAGTGATGTGTCAGGAAACCAAGCCACCGCAGCTAGCGGAGCTACCGAGTGTGGGAAAACTGCGGGAAATTTACTTGCAAGGAAGCTCTAGAAAACTCGAAAGAAACCTGGAAGGTATCAAACCAGTTGAAGTGCCTGCATTACATAGGTGCCCTGTCCTCAAGGTATGTCAGACATGTTAGCCTTGAGGAATTGCAGGTCATTCAATTTAACAAAATATGGAATATAGTAAATATGTTAAATATATAAAACTTGTCAAACACAGTATTGTTCCTTTACACAAGCCTACGCTAAATTCTGCTACATCATGGTGTCTTAAACAAAAAAGAAGAACAAACTCAGTATTTTCTGTGTATTCCCCATTTGGTCATCTTCAGCTCGGATTCGACCTGCTTTTTGCAGCATGCATGGATTCTCCTGCTGAAGGGAAGAATCAAACACACGAAAAACCATGTTGGCAGTCTTCAACGCATTTTTTTGTTAGGGATACGCAGATTGGCCCGCGTGAATAGAAGCTGATCCGGTGCGAAGGCCACCAACGCCACGTTTCTTCTCAACATGGAACATCGGTACATCACTCGTGTCAGAACATGAAGATTGTCAGAGGACGGCTCCATGTCCCATGTCCATCTCGTCACTCGATGGATCTGACGCCTGTGGGGACAGTACATCGATCTGTCTTGTTTCCATGCGCCTGCGATGTCACATGATCTGTCAGAAATACCTGGATCTTCCATGATCTGCCAACGAACTGTCAAACTGGGCAGGCATGAACTGGGCATGAGCAGGCACAAACTGTTCTTGCTTGAGTTGGATTCAGCACCGGGTCCTCCAACCCCTTCTACTTCGAGTCCTCACCGTTCCTTCCGCGCTCAGCCACCATTCCGAGCTCCGCCGCGTCCCACGGGAGAAGCAAAGACCTCGCGGAGCCGCGCGCGTCGCGAGGTGCTCGCGCTCGCGCTCGCTCCCCGCGGCGTCGGACGCGGGGTGACACGGGTGACACGGGTGGCCGTCGACGGCCCAAGTGGAAATCCGATCAACCTGTACCATCCTCAGACAGGGTGTCCGAGTCTGGTCCGGCTAGACAAGTGAGTTACACTAGAGAACCAAGCCGGGACTGCCATAGGACTGCCGATCAGTTGGGGTGGTTTTGGGGGTCAACGTAGGCATATATGGCAGTCCCATGGAGTGTCTGGGAAGTGTTCTCCGAAAATGGTCTTGGCCCCGATTGTCGGATGACCAGTTGAAAAAAACGAAGACGAGACCAGGATACGTACAACTATATATCCAAGGCTAAAACCGCCCAAGAAACCCTGATTCCTTACTAATTACTTGTGGTACCTCGATGTACCTGGGATACACTAGGCTAGGATTTTGGGGAAAAACCACTGAAACTGGGCAGAATGGGCGTCGTCCAAGCACACAGCCCTTCCGAATGGTTTAGTTAGCTCATGTCCATTTCCCGGCTTCCTGGTCTTTACCGAACAACCATTGGTTTTGCTAAGGGTTTAGTTTATTTTAGTTTTACCATATACCAGCACCGAAACCAACAGGTCTCCAGCATGGAGGGTTGGGAAAGGCCCTAACAGCAGGTTTCAATTGGTGACCTGGCAGAGTCGGTGCTGGTAAGCCAGCTCCATGTTAACCAGTCCTGGGAGAGTCCGGAGTCAAGGAGTCCGGAGCCGAGCCGAGCCGAAGAACGGCGCAGAGCCGTGTTCGTTGAGGGCCCAAAGGAGTCTCTAGAGGTCAAGAATCAGGCTCCCGAACCTTCCCAAACCGGTAAAGGAACAAAGCTAGCAGCTAGAGCACACAAAAAGACATGGGAAAAACATGGAAAAAACATGAAACAATGGACCTGTTGTTTTGCCCACCACTGCAGTCTCTGACAATGTCTCATCTAACTCCAGGCAAAGCCCCAGGAGTTCATACAAAGCATACTGCCAAATTCAGTTTCCTGCCGATCCTTGTCTCTCCCAAGTGGCCCAAAAGTGAAGACACTCGCTCCTGGCGCAGCACAGGCACGTGCGCGTGGATAGGATTTGTTGCAAGAAAACTTGTTCGGATCAAATGTTCATGGACCCTCATATATAGGGTCTGGGATCCCTAGGTTTTGAGGCACCAGTCGGGCTGTGAACGGAGGAGCATCTGGGGGGGGGAATCATCTCGCGATTTGAGCAGGTCAAAAAACATGCTGATTTCATGCTCGCATGATACAATCCAAGGTGTTTGCCTCTCCTTCATCAACATCCCGGCGAATGATAGAATCACCTCTTGCCCCAAGGCGTAGGGCGTTTGTCCTAATCCTCTTTGCCGATCTGGCAACTGGTTGACGCCTACATATTGGTACCGTAGAGATCCGTAGAGCGTGACACATGATCTCAACAACAAACCCTTGAGAACCTGATCTCTTCCATTTTGATATAAGGCCTTCGCTGTTGAAAGCAAGCTTTCGCCGCTGGCTGCGACTTCCCAGAGACCTGGGACCTTCCTCTGCGATTCGGAATCCCTGGACAGGTGAAGCACATCCCGATCGCGAAGCGACATGAAGTGCTTTGAACCTTGCGTGACCTGCGTAGACCTCCGGATCTCTCACCCAGCAGTCACAAGACGGGGTGCGATCCATGGAGGTTAGGGGTGCCCAGAACATCCACTCACTTAGGGCCCTAAGCACCACCCCTTGGTGACTGCAGGACCACCTTAAAAAAATATAGGATCTAGTCCTTTTTTCCGATCAAAGGCGAGTTGTTGTCTTCATGTTTTGGTCCATGGGTTCTAGGATGTTCTAGGTAGGTCACCCCTAGAGCTCCGTCGACCCAACGGTTGGGCCCCTGCTTCGTCGGAGAATCCGTCATCGCGGACAATCCAAGGATCCGGTGGGCGTGGGCTGCCCAGCGTGGGCTGCAAAAAGAGGAAAAAAACAATGGAACACGTTCAGTTCGACCCGGGGTCATCAATGGCATAGAATGGACCTGTTTCGAAGGGGTTCTGAAAGGAAGCCACTCAGAAAATCCTCTGACCCCACGTCGCCGCGTTGCTTCGACCACCGTCGTCACCGCACGAGCACCGCAACGGCCTCAAACTGCTCTGGTAGCATCGCGGCCGTGAAGGGCGAAGACACTTCCGGGCTGGCCTTGGAGGACGGACCCCTTGCAAACCTGCACCTGCCACGAGGGGTTAAGTGACCTGCCATTCTGGGGTACTCATGGGAGGCCATCGCTACTGGGTTGGAGGACCCCGGTCACGGTCCTGGTGGAGGACCGATCCCATGGGATCAACAGCCGGATCCCATGGGATCAATAGGGATCAACATAGATGTCCCAAAGAAAAAGCTTCACCATGGGTTTGGTCAAAGACATGGGAACAACCAGTTGAACATGGCCCAGGGAATAGGAGATATACCGAAAGTACATGGGATCAACATGGATTCTACCCAATAAAATGATCCATGTACTTTGGGTATAGGGGCCCAAGTGGATGATGATGGGACCTGGTTGCAAAACCGTGATGGGACCTGGTTGACTGACTATTACAGGTAAATCTGGGACACCCTCAACGTGCACTCCTTTGGACTGACAAAAGTTCAGTCTCTTTCCCATGATGTCTTTGGATGGAGGGAGTGAGTCGGACGCTTCGTGTCCATGGAGTTTGCATCCGACCAGCGACCACCGATTCAGTGGAACGTCTCGGTACGTCTCGGTACGTGGGCAGGGACGAAGCCGAGTGGCTAGCGCACACAATAAGACCAGCCTCGCGAGGCGATGAGTGCACACCTACCGATGAGGAGGATCCCTTAGAAATCCTTTTGAGTGACCAAACCATGAGAGTCCCAGCAGCTCCGTACCCTTTACTCTCAGCTCCGTACCCTGAGAGTCCAACGCAGAAAAAAACGCTACATGGACATCACCAGGAAAGTAACGTAAGAAGGCCCATGGAAGACCGTGTTTCTCTACAAACAGGTGGTGTTCACCACCGGTTTCTTGGTGGTCTCCTGTGGGTTCTTCAGGTTTCATGCAGGTTTGGGATGTCCACTGTTCCTCCCTTTACTACGCCTAGAACCCATTGGACCATATAGGACCCCTGCTTTCATAGGAAAAGACCATATGTTGATATTTTGGGGGTGGTTTGCGATCCAAAATCGAGGTCACTCAGGTTCTAGGTATATACTCGATGGATCTCCTTCCGCCCGCCATGCAGTCCAGGTCCAGTTTTCCTCGTTCGCGTACGAGTGCAAGTCTCTGGACCCTCCAAGAGTCCACTACGAACCGTGGGTGTGGTGTGTTTTTTCTTCGCGGGGGCCCTCAACCCGTGAGTAGACGGGTCGATTTCCCATCAGTTTGGGTGATCAAATTGGAAGGTCTCTCCTATGTTAATTCACACCCATATTGCATACAAAATACCTGGTCTGCTACGGCGATCTTCCATTTTCGAGGGTACAACGTCATGTTTGGTTTCTACTGACAAACATCCTCTGATGATGGAAAGAACATGAAAGAACTATCATTGCTAAAGAGCAAACCTCCAAGACGAGACCGATCTGTTTACAATATCTTCCTGGAGGTGTTGTGCACTGTGCTTTACTAGCATGCTTGAGATTAATCATCGAATCCATGCCAATTGCTTCGATTGTCATGGACTTTCAACATGATAGGCTGTAGTCAGCCATGTTTAGCTTTGCCTTCGGGGTCCGCCTCCATCTTCGGTCACAAGGGGTTCCGGTTGACTTGCCGATGAAGGTGCCATCCGTATGGAATTGGCCGATCATAGCAGAATTGTTGGCTCGTTTTTTTCATGTCGGCTGTTGAGAAAAGAACCTCCCCCCTAAAAAGCAGGTTTACATCTTCGCGAGATGTTCGCCAACTATTTCATCTCGGAGATACCCCTGCACCATGCCCTCGCACGAAACAGACCCGAAACCGTCGAAAACTCTCACATCTGTGCCTGGGGAGCACGAGGAAAAGTTCGGCTTCTTGGGAATCCACCATTTGGGCGAAACTCCTTGGAACAACTTGCGGCTGGTGGGAGTTGCTTTCGCTTGGCCAGGCAGGAAAGTGCCGGGAGACAGTCCAGTTCTGCTTGCTTGCAACAAGAGCTGCAACGGTGAATTTGCTGTAAAAGGTACAATAAGAAGACACCCTTTCATGTGAGTTGTGATTAGTGTGATTGGGCATTTGCTCTTAATATTGCTTCTAAAAATCTAAACAAAACGAGGCATAGTCGACAAACACTCGCTTGGACAAAGACAATACAAAAAGTGGTCAGAGTCTGACAGGAATGTTTTTCACCTGTCGCCGTCTGTCGCACGCGGCGTACAACCATCTTGTTGAACGAAAGGGAGTTTCTTCACTCGCCCTACTCCTCCTCCAAGTGACTTAGGTTCCCAATTGCTCCGAGGGGAGCCCTTTTCACAGGTCATATTTTTGCGTGCCCCTCTGAAACAAAAGAATCTGAAAAGAGGGGTTTCTTATGTGGTTTTTCCACTTGTTGTTTCCAACACCAGGAGCCTCACTGCCAGGTCACCAATTGGTGACCTGTCAAACAGCCCTTCCTAACCCTCAAAGGCCCATGTGCTTACTTAGTAAAGGTCTAGTAGAGTTCCTCCGTTCGTTCGTTCCTAGGTCGCTGGTCTGGTCTCCCCGGTCGATGAGGTCGATGGTGGGAGCCCCGGCTCCATCTAGGTGTGTGAAGTTACCATGACGTTTGTGTTCCAGCACCTTCAAAGGGGTCACCTGGCTGGAAGCCCCTACACTACTAAGGGACCTCCATTGGACACCCCTTGAAGATCCAGGTTCTTTTTTGGAGATCTTATAACCCAGACCCCACCCTGTCTGGGACTGCCAGTCCGGACTGCCTTCAAGTTACGGCCTTTTGGGTGGTGGGGGGGGTCTGTCTGGGGCGGCAGTCCGTCCTGGCAGTCCCATGGAGTGTCTGGGTAATGTGTCATAATAAATATGATAGATCTTAAAAGCCGTTTGGAGTTTCAACCTCCACCGCTTCCAATAGCTGCTGTCCCAGGCATGCATGCTCCCCTCCCAATCCCAACCCCCAACCCCACCGCACGAGCAAGCTGAGCGGCTCGTGGTCCCGCTGCAGATGTCCCAGGCGAACGGACAAGGAGCAAAGCGCGTTCAAAACGTCTTTCGGCCGTAAGAAGCGCGCGCCCAGCTCCTGGGAGCCCAGCGCGACAAGGGTGAGCAGCGGAGCTGAGTGCGGTGGTTTGTGCGGCACGGGCGGGCGGTGTGCGGGTTGCTGCTGGGTACACTCTGATGTAAGTGGATGGCATAGGCCCCGGATGGGGAGTTTAAGCATGGTTTGCTCGCAAAAGAATGAAAAATTCCATGCAAGTGAGCGGGAGTGGTCAAGTGGTGGGGTGGCAGTGGTAGAGACCACCCCGGTCCACACATGTCCAGTTTCCAGTTCTCGGTCGAGATCTCTCCCGCCGAAAAATCGCCGAATCAGCCAGGGATCCCAAGCATCTTCCCAAGCCACTAAGCAATTCTGGAGCTTCGAGTTGTTCCGCAGCTGCGGATCAATCTCCAACATCCGCCCGCGGATATCCTGGCGACGAGAGGAACTTGTTTCGTCGCGAGTAAAAGGAGGGTTTTACAAGAAGCACGGTTTGGTCTTCCGAAGCAGGACTATCAACCATAGATGTCCACCGGTTTGGTTGGAAGGACATCAAGAAGTCCAAGAGGTTTGGTTTTGGATGAGAGGTCAGTGGTGCGGCTTCTTTTCGACGTATTGAAAAGGACAACTTATTTCAACAAATTTTCAACACAACTGACTCAACTGGCTCAACTGGCTCCAATGAGTGATCCGGTGCTGGTGTCTTTTGACCTGCCGGTTCAGTCACTAGACTTTGAGGTGCCAACCATAAGAAATCCCCTGGACTTGCCGTCCAGGAATCGAGACATGTGTGAAACATATTCCTCATGCCAGGGGATTTACCCAGTTCGGGAAAACCAAAAACTCACCCGATTCGCAAAAGCAGGAATCGCTCGGCTGCCGAATCAAGAATTCTACCTCCAGGTTCAGCAAAAAGCACCAAGAAGGTGGAGGTAAGGACAGGCAGAATGGATGGATGTCTATGCTCACTTGGTTTTCTGGAGCCCTCAAGGATCTTCTGCCTCCAAAAGCCAACTGAAGCCATTCAGGTCCAGTGGACCTATTGGGTTCCAGGCCTGTGGGTGACTCTCATCCAAAAGGCCAATGGACCTACTCATCTTGGCTTCATTTGACGGGAGGCTCCTGGGAGCTGTTTCTCTGATCCTTCAAAACCATGGCCCAGAATCAACATGAAAGAAGCCGCGAGTCCGAATCGAGATCCACTTCAGCCAAGCTTCAAACAAATAACTTCTCAAGTGCAGGAATCCTGCGACGGTCGCAGTCTTGCTGGTTACACTCCCTGGAACAAACATGGAAATGGATGGCCCCCCCTGCTTGTAGAGGAAGATGGTCTTTCCAGGGACCAGGACGTCCACTTCCATGATTCTTGCAGGCAGGGTAACATGAACCCCCCCCAAAAAAAAAACAATGGCTAGTAGTTGAGAAATCGTCTTACAGAATTCCATATTCAGGGTCCATGTCTCACAGTCTGCAGGAGGTACAGTAGATCCCTTGTTTCACCGTTTCATCCAGTCGTGTCTTCTTCGGCAAGGAAAGGCCTTCAAGCTTTGGATGGCATGTGTGGCTCGATCTGTGGAACTTCCCGTGCTCTTCACCAACGGCCACGCTCCCACGACGTGCTTTTCACCGCTCGTCGCGAAGTCCCCCAGCTGGATCGGACGCAAAGAAGAACACCGTGGCGCAAGGACACCGAGCGGTCTCAGGCCCGCACCAAGGCACCCAGCGATCGTCAAAAGAAAAGACATGGGGGAACAAGGCAAGTACTCTACTCTACACGGAAGAGCCTGAAAGTCCTACAGAAACAGCTCATGCTTCACGGCCTCAACCGGGAAAAGACGTATAGAAATATGTCAATAATAGAAGTACTTCCCAGAACAGGATTTACCCATCAGAAATAAACATCAACCACAGCACAACCAGGTTGTAGTAGTTTTGCGCCCCAAGTGGATGAATCGTTTGTTCCGTTCATCTACCTGAATGTGCCATCGGTCTAAAAGGTTTGGGTACCTGCTTTCGATCAACTGCCATGATCACGGATTGACACTTGCAACATGAAAAACACCAAATCCCCTGGGTGATCTATACATGGGTGTCTATTGAAATAGGGAGACCTGCCGAAGACCCCCTGGAAGATGGAACATAGACCAAAACCCATTGGTTGGGAGGTCCCCATATTAAAATCCTAACCATTCCTAACCCATCTATACATGTACAAGTGATGTGACTCACTTCAACACCAATAGTCCACCAGGAAAACTCGGATGAAAATACATAAAAATACATGGAACCTGAATGGACCTGCAAGGAAAACGATTCTCCTCTACAAACTGGGCGTGGTTTTCAGGTTCCCCCCAGACAATCCATGTATGGAATAGTTATACCATGTGATACCCTGCATTTACCGCATTTCTGGCCCTAATGTAACTATTCCAGTCCCATGGATGGTCTGGGAACAGCCTTCAGCCGCCTTCAACCCTCCAAAACCCCGCCGCGCCTGTGAGCACGTGCTTCGCCAGCGCTTCCCGCACGGCGAGCGCCTCCGCGTGCGTCTCGGCTCCAGCAGCCTGTACGGCAGGCAGGAGACACGGAGGTTGGGCACCTGTTGCGAATCGATCACCTGGAAGCAAGAAGCTACTGGTAGCTCCTGGCATTACTACTAGTAACAAGAAGCTACCAGTAACAAGGCACCACGACCCTCCAGAGTAGAACATGGGGACATGAAAGAGGGTACGGCGGTGCCCTTTTGTTTGATGGTTCGACGGCACCAGGTAATTGAGTCACAAATTGATTTCCGCCTGAGCTCAATCATGTTCCATCCGTTGCTGGCTTCGAGAGGCATCCATCTGCACTTGGAGACATCTTCTTCTCTATCTCTATCTCTATCTCTCTCTCTCTCTCCACATCGGGAACACGGGCCTGGCATTCCAGGAACTCATCAGCTGCAGATTCCAAGACTTGATAGCTCATCTTCGGTCGCCCTCAACCGGCGACGAAGGCGATCCGTTTCGTCCGAGTCCTTTCGGCGGAACGGCGGAGCAGGCGGAAGGCTTCGGTGTCGGGTGGGGGTTTCGGTGTCGGGTTCCCAAAGCAGGCGGAAGACCTGGATGCCGAACAAGGCCGAAGACCTGGCACAGACTGGGAGAGGTTCTGAAAAGCACCCAAAACAGTCTGAAAATACGAAGAGATGCACCTGGGGTTCGGAGGCCCAAATGGCACCTGATGGCATGGACCTGCAAGGAAGACGATTCTCCTCTACAACCCAGTGGTTTCAAGGTTCCATGTGGGTCTCTTCCAGGGCGTATAATAACATTAATTTTATCATCGTTTATCACTACGCAAAACAAAAAGAATGCATCCAAAGCAACCCGCACAAGAATGACAAAGGAAAGAGAATAGACCGCTAGCTGAAGAAGGTTCCATGCTTCCTGGAAGGTTCAGCATGTTCTTTCGCCCCAATTTAGAAAGTGCGAACGACCACAAACTCCCCCCATGATGTGATTGTTTCATGTGATGTGTCTTTATATAAATGATGTAGGCACATAGGGCTACATGTGTCTATACATATACATTGTCATTCACCACATGAAAAAACGGGGGACTTCCGAATTCTTTCTTCTTGCCGGTGCCAGCTTCGTCTCCAAGGAAGTCTCCTGTGTAACAAACACGCGGTCGCACCAACCGGACGCCGAAAAGGTGAAGCTGGTTAGACCGTCCCTGTGCATCGAGACGCGAGCTTGCGCGACCTGAACCAACGACCCGAAACAAACCTGGGGTTATAGGACCTATATTGAGGGAAAAAGGATACTTCTTCAAGAGTATACACCAGGGGCGTATGATGTCAACTCTTTCACCTCTTCAACAAGTATATCCTTCTACCTTAAAGCATCCTTATGTCAACCTCTGTTGGCCCGGGGCTCGATCGCCTCGTCCTCGGTAGTTGGCACATGCATTCACTTCGCAGACCTGCGCTGGTCGCGGTGGACGCCGAGGGGTGGACGCCGAGGAGTTCGATTGATGTCGGGCCCAGTCGGGTTCCAGTCGTACCTGAAAAAGTCCAAAGACCATCTGAGGATGTATTTGGAGCCTTAGGGCAAGGACTTCAGGGTTTCAGAAGAACTGTTGTGTTTCTAAGTGGAACTTTGAAGCACCCTGGCCCTGGCCCAAAAACTTTTCTCCACAAGCTTGTTTGAACCGAGCAAAGAAGAATGATGCTCTTGACCTGTTGGCTAATCAATTTCAGCCCAGCCAGATCGCCAAAAAAACTGGGCAACAAGAACACTGCAACATACTGCAACACTGGAATCTTGAACTGCTCTTCAACGATTTCAGGGCACTCAAACTGGTTCTATCCCAAACACCCAGTGTTTTCAGTGGATGATGATGGGGCCTGGTTGCAGGCCGACACTTCAAAAAAATCCTGAGGCCTTGCTTGTGACACCGAAGGCTGGCTCTACAGGTATTACCGTAGCCCTACAGACCCGTTTGCCATACGGTCGTGTAGAGCTCGCTTTTTGGTCACCTGTTGGGATGGCTTCCGGTCACTGGACCGCACCCACCCGAGAGTGGCCGGTTTGGTCCGGATCCCACCATCGACCGAAGAATCCTCGACACCACGATCCACTGGTGGAAAAAAAGACGCTGGCTCTTTTTTGAGGGGGCAAACGGATCGAGTACTTGCATTGTGTATAAGTAATATATTAGTTGTGTTCTGAGGCCAAAAGAAAGGTTGCCAAAGGAAAATTACACCACCGTAGACCCCAAACAATTTGTGTTTTTCAAAATCGGAACACTCTGCAACTAGAGCTTGCGACGTCCAGAGCTGGGAGAGAAAGGATTGCAAGGCAGAGGCGGCCACAGCAGGGAGACAAATGTAAAGGATTGCAAGCGACATGCAGCCCAGAGCTGGGTGACAAATAAAGGATTGCAAGGCAGAGGCGGATATAGCAGTCTAGAGCTGGGAGACAAATGCAATACACATGTAAAGGATTGCAAGGCAGAGGCGGACACAGCAGTCCAGAGCTGGGAGACACATGTGAAGGGTTGCAAGCGAGAGGGGGAGAGAGGAGGCACATGCAAAGGAAAGAAGGAAGACAAGGCGGACACAATGACCAACAAGAAGGGGGACAACAAGGGAGACAAGAAGGGAGACAAAAGGAAACAGAAGGGAGACAAGACGGACACAGTGACCAACAAGAAGGGAGACAAGACCGGAGACAAAGGGAGACAGAAGGGAGACAAGGCGGAGACAAGGCGGACACAAGGCGGACACAATGACCAACAAGAAGGGGGACAGAAGGAAGACATGCGGACACAGTGAAGGGAGACAAGAAGGCAGACAAAGACAAGGCGGACACAATCACCAACAAAAAGGGAAACAAGAAGGGAAAAGGAAACAGAAGGGAGAGACAAGGCGGACACAGTGACCCACAGAAGGGACGAGGCGGACACAATGACCAACAAGAGGGAGACAAAAAGGGGACAAAAGATAACAGAAGGGAGACAAGACGGACACAATGATCAACAAGAAGGGAAACAAGAAGGGAGACAAAAGGCAACAGAAGGGAGACAAGACGCCCACAAGAAGGGAGACAAAACCGGAGACAAAGAAAGAATGAAGGGAGACAAGGCGGACACAGTGACCAACAAGAAGGGAGACAAGAAGGGAGACAAAAGGAAACAGAAGGGAGACAAGGCGGACACAGTGACCAACAAGAAGAGGGACACAGTGACCAACAAGAAGGGAGACCAACAGAGACAAGCCGGACGGAAGGCAGACACGCTGTCCGGCAGCAAGGCGGACACTCTTAGAAAGCATTTAGAGCCCCTAACAGTAACCTGTTTGGAGAAGTACAGAAACTACATGGGAAACAAAGGAATAGAAATGCTTCATGGCCAGCGGAAAGGGCGGACACCATGAGAAACCCTACGTAACGGCAAACTGTTTGGGGAATGAATAGAAATGTTGCATCGCCAGCGGACAAGGGCGGGCACCAGCAGTGAAAGACCTCGGAGACAAATGAACAGAAATGCTACATGGCCAACGGAAAAGGGCGGACACCAGCAGTGACAGACCTCGGAGACAAATGAACAGAAATGCTACGTGGCCAACGGAAAAGGGCGTGGGAGACAAATGAATAGAAATGCTACATGGCCAGCGGAAAAGGGCGGACACCAGCAGTGACAGACCTGGGAGAAGAATGAATAGAAATGCTACATGGCCAGCGGAAAAAGGCGGACACCAGCAGTGACACAAAGGGCGGACACATCTTAAGAAAGAATTGAGAACCCCTAACAGTAAACTGTTTGGAGAATAATGAAAAACAACAGAACTACACCTCTGACTCACTTAACTATAGTGGACAAATAAACTCTTGATTTTTGATTTATAACCTCCCCGTTTGGATGCACGAAACTTGCGGACGATCACACGACGCGCGCCCACGCACACCCTTTCCAGGTTTTCTGGAGGGTTATTGGTGAGACCAAATGACAAGTAGCACACCGATACGTATATACAGGGAACCAGGCGTCTACGAATGTGCACGACAAACAACGGGATCGGCATGACTAGGTGTCAAACATGGGTCACCTAAATTAGCAGCAGGCATAGAATTCACAGTCAGAGCATGTGTGCTCCTACACAAATTAGGGCCAGGATACCCAATGGAATCGAGATCTTTTTTCCGAAAGAGAGCATTGCGTAGATTCTGTGTAAATTTTTCACGGGTAGTGAATGAAAGTTCAGGCCAACTAGGCACTGGCATGGAATGTCCGGTTGTGGGAAGTCTAGCGGTGCAAATTCTATGTGAAATTGTGGATCGCGTGGAATTGTGAGAATCATCTGGTGTATGTAAGTGTATACGTCACTTGTGCATTAGGGAGTATCGGTCGTCGAGAGATACCGCCTTCATGATAGGCTGTGAAGCCCAGTTTTGTTAAACTGGATGTTCCTTGTTTTGAATAGGTAGGGACAATCTTCGTTCTAGAGAATGTTTGCAAGTGCTTGACAATCAACCGAAATGAATCTGCAAGGACCCGAATTGACCTCTTTTTGACTGGTTGCATCTGGACTTTCGGATGATTAAACTCGTAAGGTACCTGCTGATCATTTTCTGAGATTTTGACCGGGAATATCCATCCACTCCATAGAGTGAATGATATCATGAGTTCTACCCACGAGATGCCTGGATCCTGTTGGGGATTCTTGGAGTCCGGGTTAGGCCACTTTAGGTGATTGCAAAAATCCCAGACTAGTCTAGCATAATTTGTACCCCATGAGCAAGACCAAAAAGCTGTTTTGTGTAAATCCGTGGGCATTTCGAAGAGATCACCGGCAACATTCCATCGTTGAAATTTATGGATGATTTTCAGAAGTTGTGGTGTTGTACGGGGGTGCAATTGCTCTGGGTGTTCTCCGTGATCGTGGTTCAAAAATTGCGCAACTGAATCTTTGTCTCTTGGTGGGACAGACAGTCTTGCGTACGCGCCGCGAGGTCAAGTAAATATCGGAATATTTTAGAATGAATATCGCTCTGTGTCTTTGTGTGTGATCGAACATCCTGGCACATTTGGAGACATTCTGGTAGATCTGTTTGGCAACAATGCACCGCTGCTTTATCTGCACAGGCATTTCCATGGATGTCCCACAACTGTTGAAAATTAGTAGCATCTTCGAGACGTTGGTGGGCTTGATCTTAAATGCCATGAATCTGTTCGGGTCCCAAACTGCCATCAGGCGCCTAACTATTCTAGTTAAATCCCAGTGGTCTTTTCGATGTGCACAATGTTCAATTTTAAGGGTTCCATTTTGGTCGATGGTATTATTTACGAATTGCGAATCTGTGCCAAATTGAAAATTGTATTCGGCTGGTGCAATGTCAGCAGTTTCAGCCGCCGCTACCATGGCTTGTAATTTGGCTCGATTGATGGTTTGATGTCCTACACAATGTCCTGTAGCCAGGAGCTGTATGTTCTGTAGTCTCATTACATCCTCTGCTGGTATCTTGTAGACGACTGCCCACGCTGCTCTGGCGGCATAGGGATCGCGAGGGTCATCACAGGATCCGTCTGTGTAGAACGTCACGCTGTTGGGCAAGTTATCCGGGGCATTGTATGTTGCAGTATCATGTCTGAGGTGCATCGCTTGCCGGACCAATTCCACCCGTGGTGCGTGAATTGGGAGCGGAAACCAGCACAAATAGTTGTTTTCGTGTATGTGAGCGACTGCAGCTGAGTGTTGAGCTCGAATTGCTTCAAAGGTGGGACAATACAAAACTTGGTGGGTGTGGGTATCGTATTGTCCACACCATGGGCATGTTGGGTCTTGTTGGGCACTCCACTGTGCTAGTTGTCCATTAGACTGCCACCCTGCTGTGATGGTCAAGGCTAGGATACGCCTCTGTCGGTCTGTAAGGTTTTTAAGGATTCGATGTGTAATGGTAGAATCATATGGAAAATTGGCTACTCCTTTACGATGAGCTATGGCTCAGTGGCAGTACCAATCCCAAGCAATTGCACGAGGAATGCCGAAGGTCAAGTCGAAGACCGCCAGGTCCTAACAGTGTTGCGTTCGGTGTGATCTCCCAATGTAATCGGCGGAGGTAGTGCGCTAAGGCCGACGCCGGCCCTCGAACACAATCATCTGCATTAATGACTGCCGTGAGCATTTGTGCTGCCAAGTCTGGATGGTATGCGAAAAGTCGTCGCATGGTGGTAAGGAGGTCTATAGGATCTTGTACTTTATCGCTTATGTAATGTAATGCTACGACGCTGCGGCAGCTCTGCGGAGGATCGCAAGTTGTTTGTCACCAATGGCAAGACCTAATGTTCCATAGAACAAAGCCGGCCAAATGGCAATTTGGATCTTCTCTGCTCTTTGGTGCAGGCTCAATGACAACTTCTTGAGGGGATTACACTTAGCAATGGCATTATCAACTTTATCTCGTAAAGGTCCTAGTGGTGTC